TTCCAGTTTGTATGCTGTTAGCGACCCATTTCTTGAGTATTATAGGGTGCAGTCTTAGCAAAGGCAGTTCCCAGCTTCTCTAAGTTTTCCTTGCATCCAAGGACTTTAGCAAATGGTCAGTCTAATGATTATGTCAAATGAATCAGTTAAGCCTGCTATGCAAATTGTCAGCAGTTTGGAGAATTTGCACACACGGTGGCTCTGTGTTGTTCATCATAACACATGATGAGTTTTTAGTCTTGGTGGTGTTATAATTTAATTAAATGCCATTTATCTATTAACATTGCTAATTCTTGTGACTCCTAATCAAAATTCTGTGTACACAGGTTAAAGCAGTAAACAATCAGACAAATGGAGGATAATGAAATTATTTTCCTGTTTGTGTCCAGACTGCCGGCTGCGTCGTACCTCTGCAGGGTGTCATCGTCCCTCCTTCCCTCTGCCTTTCAAGTTTTGTCATGTTTTGAGGAACATAGTGAAATTCTTATGCCACATTTGCAGGGTAGAGGACTGGCACACACACATGCACACACACCACACACACACACACACACACACACAGAGTTGTGATTATATCATTGTGGGGACTCTCCATTCATTTCTATGGGTAAAACTCTAATCCCAACATGACGACCCTAACCCCAGCCCTAACCTTCACCATAATTAAACAAACAAAATACGAGACTTTTGGCATTTTTTTTTATTGCATTCACAGATCTTTGTGGGGACCTGAAAAATGGTCCCCACAACATCAAAAAAACTGTTTTTTATTACATTGTGGGGGGTACTTGGCCCCCACAATGTAATATAAGCCTAATTCTCACACACACATCAGACCAAGATATCAGACAGTCAATATATCAGTCAAATTTATCAAATTTTATTAGAGAACTGACTGTAAATAAACAAACTGATATTCTTTGCAAGATTGCATGAAATTTACTCCGGTGTATTAAGTTATATAAAGTTATTTAATACACATTTTCCATTTCTGTTTCCTGTGGTGTGAGGTACAGGTTATTCGGGTCTGTGTGTCCCTAACCTGAAACACCTGCTTTTTGACCACAGTAATTTATTAGTATGGTGTAGGGGCTCCTTTTGTGGCCAGTGCAACATCAATTCATCTTGGGAGTGACGGATGCAAGTCCGGCACAGCGGCCAGAGGGATTTTGAGTCAATCCTCTTGCAAAACAATGGCCAGGTCACTATGTGATGCTGGTGGAGGAAAATGTTTCCTGACTTGCTTCTCCAAAACACCCACAGCTCAATAATAATCTGGTTACTGTGCAGGCCATGGGAGATGTTCAGTTTCACTATCATGTTCATCAAACCACTATATCACCAGTCTTGCTGTGTGTATTGGTGCAATATCATCCTGATACACGGCACCACCTTCAGGGAACAATGTTTGGACCACTGGGGGAACATGGTCTTCCAGAATGGCTTGGTATTCCTTGGCAGTGACACGACCTTCTAGAACGAGTAGCGGGCCTAGGGAATGCCATGATATTACAGCCCAAACCATCATGCACCCCCGTGCCACACTCTGGATACGCAACAGTCAGGATGGTAAGCCATCCACAGTTACTCCTGCAGGACGTGGTCCATCCTTCGTGGTCGAATGCCGACATTACCCTGGATACCGTGGTTCTCGATTCACCACAAAGACTTGCTGTCCTGGTCACAGATGCATCAGCGAGACGCACACCAACAATCTGTCCCCTTTTAAACACTGATATGTCTCCCATTATGTTGTGTAAATTGGAATATTTTATATACAGCTGTACTATGGGCCTGCTAATTTAAACTTCACACTCTGCTCTTACTGATGAAGTGAAGATTGGCCACCAGGCCACGTATATATAAGCATGAAACCTCAAACACCAGTTTGGCCAGTGTTTCAGTTTTATCGTCCAACCCCTGAAGCTAGCAGGATAATGATCTGTGTTTGGCTCTTCACTTGCCTCACTTGCACTGTATTATTCACTTTCATTTTATTTAGTTATGCATTTATTTGCCTATTTCCATTGTGGGTGGGGGAAACAGTGTTGGCATTTATGCTGCTAGGCAACAAAAATTTCACCGTTGGAAATCAATAACTGAATGAAAGTTATCGTTGTGAATGAAGTGCACCATGAATGCAGATACAAAATTTTATCAGATGACATGGACACACTATCCATACAAATTAATAAACAGAGTGAGCTAACCAGAAATGACAAACGGCTGATATTTAATTCACAGTTGTATCTCTCCCACTCTGATAAATTCAGCAGCAGTCCTTAAAAAGCTTCCTTGCTTCCAGTATGTTTGAATTGACACTCTGACACTTTAAGTGCACTACAATCACTAAAATATAGTCAAAATTTAAAACAGGGGTCCAATCTGTTTACACAGAGAACATCAAAACTCCGGTTCCCGACCGAATGCTTTGACACAAAGCTTCTCTAGTATTAAAAGTTCAGGTGTGCTGGGCTTCACTTTCTGTACTGAGGGATTTTTTTACTTTTATCTTTTGCTAAATTTAACATTTTTGATTCACCTTTCAGGGGGCACTGATCCATAGTAAGTCTCAACTAGTTATCTGCTTACCTACTGGGCCTCTCTTCCTCAATCCTATAATGCACAGAAATTAAAGAGAATGAAGAGAATGTGATCCATTCCAGGAAGTTTAATCTAATTGTACTGAGTTAATAACACTTGATTCTTCTCAGAAGTTGCTTTGATTTTTTTTCCTTTATTTTGTTTGGTCGTTGGACTTGTAACCATGGAGACCGGAGACATGTGCTTTTCCTAGTATTTGTCATTACCTAGTAACTGAGACAGCTTTCTGTTTTCTTGTGTATTTACAGTGCTGTATTGTACTTCACACACCTACAGATTCTACGTGAATCCCAAACACAGATACATCACATTACTGCACTGTCTCTTTGCAGTCCGAAATACCTCACACATATTAATGTACAATGCGTTTCACTTATGCTCTTGGCACTGAATGTCTTGCGTGCTTGTCTGTGGGTTGATGTACGGGGATGTGATTTTTATGTTCATGGCTGTTTTTGTTTTGGGCGACATAAGACCATCAGTTATTGCCTGTCAGTGAGAGAATGTTTGCTGGCAAACATATTAAAACATTCAGAAACCTGAGCGTGGAAAAGTCAAGTGCTGAAACTGGGAAAAGTAAATAGCCCCGCCACTCAGAAGATAACATTGCCTTGTTTTGTGTTTTATGGAGTCAGCCCAGAAGGATTATGCCACCTACAAGAGTAACAGGACAGATGATTTAGTTTGCTTATGCCTTTAGATCAGGGGTGTCAAACTCCAGGCCTGGGGGCCGCAGCCCTGTGTAGCTTTAGTTCTTTCCCTGTTCCACCACAAATGATTCAGCTCAAGAGCTGTGTGGTAATTAGCACAAGGAGGTGAATCAGGTGTGTTAAATGAGGGGGAAACCGAAAATGAGCAGGGCTCTGGCCCCCCAGGATTGGAGTTTGTCACCCGTGCTTTAGATAATAAAGAGGCATGAACAGTGCCCTCTAGTGGAAACCAGCATCAACCTCTAGAAGGGAGTAAGCAGTATGGAGTAAGCAGTATGGAGTACGCAGTATGAAGTAAGCAGTATGGAGTAAGCAGTATGGAGTACGCAGTATGGAGTAAGCAGTATGGAGTACGCAGTATGGAGTAAGCAGTATTGAGTAAGCAAGTATCTTATTTCTACAGGACATGTATAAGTAAGTAGGGTGCCATGGTGGCTCAGTGCATGGTGTGGAGTTTGCATATCTTCCTCATTTTGTGCAGCTTCCTCCCACAGTCCTGAAGACTTTAAGTTAGGTGGATTGTTGCTTGTGCGTGTGCTCAGCAATGGACTGGCGTCGCAGGCAAAGTGGTCTAACCCCATGCCTTGTCTTGCGTGTTGTCTGGTATCAGCTCCAGCGCTCCAGCTAGGAAAAGTGACTGGAATAGAAGGTACTTTATTAATCCCCATGGGGAAATTCTCTTGTCATGTCACCCCATCTGGCTCTCCATGAGACACAGGGTGGGCCTCCTTTTGGCACGCAGGGACCTGGGGGTTAGGGGCCTTGCACAAGGGCCCACGGACGTGTCACTGTTCTGCCAAGACTGAGCTCAAACTGGTGACCTTCCCGTCACAGACATAGAGGCGTAGCCCACTAAGCCACACCCCCCCATATGAATATTTATAAATACCCAATTGAGACATTTCCAGTGTCAAAGATTACAGAAATATTTCTGTAGTATAGCTTGTAGTATAGCTCTTTTAGGCACAATCCCAGTGTATAAAGTCTCTGTTTTATCAAAGAAATTCTTACATTATCCACAAGGTTTAATACAGCACACATCACCTGGGCTTTTAAAATAAAGCAGAACTCTGAAGAATCTAAAGAGATTAATCTTTCATAAATTCTCTCTACATTGTTCTTAAAAATTCCACTTCTAAGCCCTAGAACATCTTGACTGGAGTAAAACGGGGAGGAACATTGTTTGTCCATGGGGAGAAGATTAATGCAACTTGAAGCTTCCTGTTTAAATTATAATCATGTTATAGGAATCTTTTGAGAATATTATGGGATGGATGAAAATTATGATGGTAAGACTTTACTAAGCCATTATATAATATGTTTAATTAAGGAGGATGTCAGAATGTTCCAAGATTTTTGAAAGTGAAGTCATGCAAGAAAGTACCCATAATTCCTTGCCAAAATGGTTTTCCTGCCAACAGAGTGAGGTTATTATTTATAAGCTGTGAGGTTCAGGAACTCCAGTTAACACTTTGAATTATTGTGCTGTTGCTGCATGTTTTGTGTGGCAGTTTGTGAAAATGTAATCAAAGCGGTTTGTAAAATTGATAGCCTCCGGCGCACGCGTACAAGCATACACATACACATACACATACACATACACAAACCAAACAAGGGCCGATGTAGGAAGCAGCTACTGTCAGGAGCTTGACAGCTCATCTGTACTCATCCGACCTCTTCATGCAGGAACTGGAGAGAGTGGGAAGAGCACCTTCATCAAGCAGATGAAGATCATCCACGGCTCAGGCTACTCGGAGGAGGACAAGATGGGCTTTGCCAAGCTGGTTTACCAGAACATTTTCACCTCCATGCAGGCCATGATCCGCGCCATGGACACCCTTAACATCAAGTATGCAAATGACCAGAATGTTGTAAGTCCATACTTATCTCCCTGACCTTCTCTTATTGGACATATTTGCTAAACTATTTCAGCAATCAATGCTGCACATCTGTCTTTCAAAGTCTATTTTAAGCCTGCTGGAATTTGTTTTAAAAGTATTTAGACAGAAGAACTTTATCCAGGTTTTATAACCTTCAATGAGCAGATTGCACATATGCATTTGGCTCCAACCATCCATCCATTTTCTGTAACTGCTTGTCCTGTTCAGGGTCACGGGGGGGGGGGGTCTGGAGCCTATCCCAGAGGCTATGGCTGCAAGTCAGGGAAAAATCCAGGATGGGGCACTAATATAGCTAATATTATAATAATATATGTATAACTGAAGCTGCTGTGCTACAAAGCCTAGCTAAACTCAAAATAAATAAATTGCAGGGCCCTGATGGCATCTTACCTATAGTTTTAACAGAGATGGGGGGTATTATTTGCTGATCTTTAACATTACTATTTCAGAAATCCTTATCTACTGATGTGGTACCTTCTGATTGGAAGCATGCTAATATAACACCCATATTCAAAAAAGGGGATAGAAATAATCCAGCAAACTATAGGCCAATCAGTTTTACTTGCATAACTGGAAAAGTAATGGAAGCTTTAATCCAAGTGGAAATGGTAGATTACCTGGATTCAAATAACATTCTGAGGGATAGCCAACATGGATTTAGGAGAGGTAGATCCTGTTTAACTAATCTACTTGAGTTCTTTGAGGAAGCTACAAGAGAAATTGATCACAAAAAGGCCTATGATGTGATCTACTTAGATTTCCAGAAGGCCTTTAATGTTGTCCCCTACAAACGGTTCCTGCTTAAGGTCAAAACTGTAGGGATTTTAGGAACTGTAGCAGCTTGGATTGAAAACTGGTTAATAGATAGGAAGCAGCAGGTAGTTATTAGAGGCACCATGTGACAGTGGGCCTGCGTTCATAGTGGGGTACCGCAGGGTTCAGTTTTAGGTTCACTGTTATTCCTGATTAAAGATATTGACAACAATATATACAGTAAACTGGCTAAATTTGTAAACAACACCGAGGCAGGTGGTGTAGCAGATACTGAACTAGTGGCACAGAGGCTGTAGCGGGATCTTGATTTAATTAGCGACTGGGCTGATACCTGGCAGATGAAATTTAACATAGATAAATGTAAGGTAATCCATGCAGAGAGCAGAAATATAAAGTACAGGTACTTTACGGGTTCCACTGAAATAAAGGTAGCTGATTATGAGAAAGACCTATGAGAAAGGTGTGTATCTTGATGCTTCCATGTCCCACTCTCGCCAGTGTGGGGAAGTAATTAAAAAGGCCAATAGGTCGTTGCGTTACATCTATAGGTGTGTGGAGTTTAAGTCAAGGGAGGTGATGCTAAGATTATACAATTCCTTAGTAAGACC